GGAGGTGGGGGGAAAGAAACTAACAGGGAGGTGGGGGGAAAGAAAGTAACAGAGAGGTGGGGGGTAAGAAACTAACAGGGAGGTGGGGGTAAGAAACTAACGGGGGGAAGAAACTAACAGGGAGGGGGGAAAGAAACTAACGGAGGTGGGGGGAAGAAACTAACAGGGGGGAACTAACAGGGAGGGGGGAGACATTGACAGGGAGGGGAATTGACGGGGAGAGAGAAATTGACAGGGAGGGGGGAGTGACAGGGGAGGGAGGGGGAATGAGAGTAACAAGGGAGGGGGGGAGAAGAGAGTGACAAGGGAGGGGGGAGAGATTGACATCCATCACACACACAATCACACACAATGCACCCCTTACACACAAAGACAATGAACCCCTTGCACACAGAAAAACACACAATGCATTACACACACAATGCATTACACACACACACGCAATGCAACCCTTACACACAATGCATCCCTTGCACACACAGAAACACACAATGCATTCCCTACACACACTCAATGCACCCCTTACAGACTCACACACTTCATCCCTTACATACACAGAAACACACCTTGCAGCCCTTACACATACAAACACAGATTCACACAATGCATTCCTTACACACAAATCAGGACATCCCCTACATACTCCACCCCCTGTGAACAAACTCATTGGTGGAACATGAAGGTGGACCCTGGGACCCAGACCTTGAGCTGTGTAAAGGGCCCCCCAAAAATTGAGCTGCTTCTCGTTCTCGCAGAACATTGATTTTTGTGACCACAGTTACAAACAGCCTCCAGAGATCCTGTTATACACCAGACCAGTGGAGCCAGACTGCAGCTAGAGCCCATCATCATCCTCATCTGCTTGTAAGTAGGTAATCTAGTATATTATTCGTGGCACTAATCTCTAATTTACCTCACATTAAAGAAACACTATAGTCCCCAGAACCACCGCAGCTTAATGTAGTGGTCCTGGTGTCTATAGCCTGTCCCTGCAGGCCTTTTAATGTAAACACAGCGGCACTGCAGCACTGCAGCACTAGCGTTAGTTAACATGGCAGGTCATATGGGTGGGGCATTGTGATGTCACGGGGGGGGGGGCGGCAAACTTTACTTTTGCCTAGGGCGGCAAAAATCCTTGCACCGGCCCTGACTACAGATATAAACAACTTTTTATTCCGGGAAACTAAAACCTTGTAACAGGCTTGGGGTGTCCCTTTAAGTGTTTGGGGAGCACTCTTCAAGGCAGTGATTCTCACCTTCTTTGTCAATCCTAGGATTAAATGAAACAATAAAGTGCAGAGAAGAGCTGGGATTTCACATCTGCTTTATGTAATTTGGATATTTTCCTCCTAGGGATGCTAGATTTGTGCTGAGTTATCCATACAGGAAGAACAAGTAAAATATTAGGAGTTAGTTAAGTTTTAAGCATGTCTACAAGTAAAAAAAACAAACAAAAAAAAAAAAACATAAGAAGCCGGTAGAATTAAAGGATCATTATAGTGTCAGGAAAACAAACCCGTTTTCCTGACACTATAGTGCCCTGAGGGTGCCCCAACCCTCAGGGCCCCTTCCTGGTTAAAACCCCTTCAGCAGCTTACCTTATTCCAGTGCCAGGCTCCTTCGGCACTGGTGACCTCTCCTCCCCGTCTGACGTCAGCTCCCTAGTGGAGCGGAATGCGCATGCGCGGCAAGTGCCGCACGTGCATTCAAAGAGTCCATAGGAAAGCATTTCTCTGCACGATGGATGCAAAATTTGTATCTAGCATCACAGATGTGCCTCTAGTGGCTGTCCGGAAGACAGCCAGAAGAGGCTCGATTAACCCAAATGTAAAATATTGCTATGTTTGCATCTGAAGGGTTAAAACCTGAGGGACCTGGCACCCAGACCACTTCATTGAGCTGAAGTGGTCTGGGTGACTATAGTGTCCCTTTAACACACAATACAGGCAGCCTACTCTTGCTATACCCCCGTGGGACTCTTGACTAACATACCTGAGGGGCTTCATGGGGATTACTCGCCTCACACATTGGCTAGTGTTAAGCATGTAACTTCTCTCTGCTTAACCTACTCTCAGATGGCAAGTACCCAAAGTATTGTTTATTTCTTTGAATTTACCTCTTGCATCTGGGCCCGTCTGCTTCCTGAGTTATTAATACTACCACTAACCTCACTCACTAGCTAGTATTAAGCATGTCATTTCTCTCTACTTTACTCTACTCTCATATGGCAAGTACCCACAGTATTGTTTATTTCTTTGATTCTATCTCTTGCATCTGGACCGGTTTACTCCTTGAGTTATTATTCATATCAAAAAATGTGCTTAATTGTCGTTTGTCATGCAATTGTCTAACTATGTATGTTGCTATGCTTGCATCTGCTGTTGTGGCACTGCAAGTTCATCTGTAAATTCTGAGCACAGCAAAAATAAAGAATATAAAAGAAATACATTTAAAAAAAAAAAAAAAAACAACCATTTTAAATACATTTCCTTCAAAGGAAAAATCCCTGGTAGGAATTTCCATGTTCATGCTGCATAGAAAATTTGGCTGTCATGACGTTGGTCTTGCTATTACTTGTGCACATGTTTTAAGTCTGTCCTGGAGTAAACTGAATGAACTACAGATGGATCGCTGAATATTCCTATAGGACTACAAGACCCACAGTGAAGAAACTTCACATTAACTCAGCTACGCAGACAACCACTTATCTGGGCTCCTGGCCAAGTGTAATCCTGTATCCACCCGTACTGTCCTAGCGTCAACGTAAATCTCAGATGCATAGTGGAGATGAATTGCTGGCAATTTTATTACATTTTTTGAGACAGCATAAAAGTTAACTTATGGAAAAGAAATTGCTGACATTTTATAAAATGAATAACAGAGAGGAACACTGACAGCTGACACTAGTGATTACAATCTTCAAATTGTAGGAAATCTGACTTATTGAACACATTGTACTTTGATGGACTGAGATTAGAAAAAATAACTATACTTTTACCTATACAAACATGGTATTTTTAGATGCAGACATTTAGACTGTGTTATCACAATCCACTGTGTCGATGAAAAAATATTCCCCAGATTTGGATTTTAGATTCTGCAATGATGCTTCTTCCAATAGTGCATCCTGCTCCATCTTTTCCCACGATGTAAACGATGCACACACAACATCCTGCTGCCATTTCTTCCATAGGTAAACAACACACATGTACCTGCCATTCCACCTGATCTAAAAGAAAACTTGATTCATCAGAGCAAGCAAATGTCTTCTGTTGCTCCCTGGTCTGGTTCTGATGTTCACATTCCCATTGAAGTCACCTTTGGCGGTGGACAGGGGTCAACATTGGCAATCTGACCGGTCTGTGGCTGCGCGGCAAACTGTGTGTTTTCTATTGTGGGCTGCATTATGTTTTTCAGCAATCTAAGATACAGTGGCTCTTCTGTGTGATCAGACCAGACTAACTAGCCTTCGTGCCCCATGTGCATCAAACAGCCTTGGACGCCCATGATCCTGATGCTGGTTCACTGGTTATCATTTGTGTACCACTTTTGGTAGGTACTAACCACTGCATACTGAAAACACTTTAGAAGACTTGCAGTTTTGGAGATGCTTTCACCCAGTCACCTAGCCATCAATATTTGACCCTTGTCAAAGTCACTCAGATCATTTCGCTTGCCCATTTTTCTTGCTTCCAGCATATGAAAGAACTGACTGTTCATTTGCTGCCTGTTATATCTCATCTTGACAGGTGCCATTGTAACAATGTAACCAATGTTATCAGGGCTGGACTGGGACAAAAATTCAGCCCGGGCATTTAAAGGCAGAGCAGCTCTCGGAGGGGTGGGGCCCAAGCAGGTGCATGTTGTGTCATCACCAATGACATTTATGCCTCTCCAAAGTGGGCACATTTTTTTAATACCCCTCAGAGTGTAGCATGGGGCTGATAGTCGATGTGTGTGAGGGTGAGACAATAGAGGATGTTGTGTGAGGGTGGAATAAGAGCTCTTGAGTGTGGAACAGGGAAATGGTGCTGCAGAGTGTGAGAATGGACATGGGACATGGGACTGCATGGTGTGAGAGGGGACATGGGGCTGCATGGTGTGAGATGGGGACATGGGGCTGCATGGTGTGAGAAGGGGACATGGGATGCAGAGCATGAGAGGGGAAGACATGGGATGCTGGATGAGAGGGATAGAAAGGTAGTGCTGGGTGAGAGGGAGAGACAGGGGCTGCAGGGTATGAGAGGGGCAGGGTCTGCAGGGTAATAGGGGGCAGGGGTTGCAGGGTGAGAGGGGGCAGAGGCTTCAGGGTAATAGGGGGGCAAGGGCTGCAGGGTAAGATGGGCACAGGGCCACAGGGTAAGAGGGAGGCAGGGGATGCAGGGTGAGAGGGGGACAGGGGCTGCAGGGTTAGAAGGGGACAGGGGCTGCAGGGTGAGAGGGGAAGACAGAGGCTACAGGATGTGAGTGGGGACATGGGGCTTCTCAGTGAGAAAGGGGGACATGGGGCAAAAAAACAACTTACATACTTCCCCATCCCTTACCTTGATCCTTGGAAGGAGAGGATGCTGGGGAGGAATTCTTTTCCCTAGTGGTCCATTGGAAGAAGCATCTGATCTACACCCCTTGATCTTTGATCTCCCCACCGCACACAGCTTCCTTTAAGGGACAGAGGCCTGGCAGCACCAGTCTTAAAGGGGCCGGCTGGGGAGATCCTTTGATCTCCCCTGTCAGCCTTGGCTCATGGCCATCGTGGCCCACCGGGCATTTGCCCAGTTTACCCGATGGCCAGTCCAGGCCTGAATGTTATTCATTTAACCTATCAGGGTTTTTAATGATGTGGCTGATCAGTGTATATACATAAAACTTATATTGTGTATATATTTTGCAGCACACTGGTTGACAGTACACTGATTGATTTTTTACACCTTTTGGTTTGTCTGATTAGTTTTCCTGATTTTTTTTTTCATTTATGAAATTCAGATGAGCCAAACTTCCATATGGGCTAAATTCATCTGTCCTTAAAAAGTTTTTTTTTTTTGGAGAAAGTTATTCAGATTAAACAAATTTTTTTTCACCTTGCACAAGTCTAATAATTTTCTTATTTTGGTTACCAGAAATTTTCAGCAATGTTAACTTCCACTGACTTTTTGATCCTTGCTTCAAAACCTCTAGAGCAGGGGTAGCAGGGCCGGACTGGGGATACAAAGCAGCCCTGGAAAAAAAATTTGTGCCAGTCCCATAAGTCACTGTGCCATATATTGTCGCGTGTAATATGTAAGGCTATGTCTTGCCATGACAGATGATTGAGTAATATATATATTGCTTTTTCCAATATAAAATATTGGTCCTTTCAGGGTAAAACGTTTAATTATACAGTAAGCATACTCACATGCAGACACAGGCAATTTCACTGACATCTCAATGACACACACAAGCTCACTGATACACAGCCTCATAGACAAATAATCTCACTGACATACATCAGCTCATTGACATAAAAACACAAGCTCACTCACTAGCAGGCACACGTATCCAAGCAAGCTCACTCACTAGGCACACACCCCATGACACAGACAGGCACACACCCCATGACGGACAGACACACACCCCATGACAGACAGACACACACACACCCCATGACGGACAGACACACACCCCATGACAGAGACACACACACCATGACGGACAGACACACACCCCATGATGGAAAGACACACACACCCCATGACGG